TGATTAAATATTTAAATAAAATATATTAAAAATAATAAAGCAATATAATATAATATGCACTGATGTTAATTTTTAAATTAATATTTTTTGTAAAGTACCAAATTAGTAGCTTCTTTGTATAGTTTACAACATTAGTTAAAACTTTTTCATATGCAAGTAAAATAGACAATATAAGATGACAAAATATGCCCAAGTGAATCATAATCTAATCCTATTGAGAGCTTGTGAGTCAAAATCTGTATGAATACCTAACCCTTGCAGCCAACTACAGCTCACTGTTTACCAAAACACACCGTAGGCACAGACAAACTTCAGTTTGATCTCACCCGGTACCACTTAGACAAGGTGGCCCCTGCTTTGTACAAGCAGGAAGGAGGGGGTCACTGGCCACAGCGTCCGTATGGGTCATCTACATGGTGGCGTGAACACCCCATGGAGTGTGGGTACAAAAGCAGAGGCATCCATCCAGAACTAGCCATTCCATGGATGGAAGTGCTCATCTGGACAAGGTGGCAGGGGGTCGCAGCCCTCCAAGCACTTCAGAACTTTCAAGTGGCATGCTTCCAAGAGCGTTCCCTGGTCCGATAGCGGAACGGGATTTTCTGCGGAGAATTACGGAACAATGCTCCACTTGTCCTTTTGTTGGCCTGCAGTTATGGACCGTGTTGTTTAATGGCTGCTATTCAGAAAACACACCCTTAATCTCAGGATGGACTCTGGGATTGTGCACTAAAGAACTGCATTGTGCTACTAAAGGCGCTTTTCCACTGCGTGGTACGACTCGGCTCGGTACGGCTCAGTACGGTACGGCACGGCTCGGTTCGGCTCGGTTTGCGTTTCCACTGCAGTTCAGTACCGCTTTAGAGTGGGCGGGATTATTCACATGTCATTATAGTTGCGCCGCCTCTACTGCCGCGACTCCTAAAAAAACTTTTTCATTCCGCGTCGCCCCATCAAGCTCTCACTGCCGAGCCGTACCGTGCCGTACCATGCAGTGGAAAAGCGCCATAGATACCTGACTTTCAAACACTCGCTGGAGAAAGAAACACAGACTAAAAGTAACCAGTTGAGTGCCTGTTTACTGTATGGTTGACTACCAACAAGGAGGAGTCGACTAAAAAACTGCTCTGGTAGATTTGAAAATTATGTAATATTAAGTCAAACACAGCACCAGGGCTTCCACAACGTTTGCCGTTCCAGCTGGGACCCTGTCTGTCTGGGTGGGTGGGATTTTTGAGAAGCCAACTCAACTGCTTATTAAATCATCAGAGTCTCCGCAAAAAAGCAGCAAAACCAGCAGAGATTTTGCAAGGTCTCACAAATCAGAAAAGTAGTTGAAACAGAAAACTGCGAAAGGAGGATTGCCAAAGTTATTACTCAACAATTCAATCCACTACGACTTAAGCTATTCACTGTAATATCTCTTACAAATAAAGTGGCAGTTGTTACAAACTTTACATTGACCAGACATTCTTGGGAAAAGATCATAACAAAATGTGAAGTGCCTGCAGATAATGTTTGAATGTCTATGAATCATACACCAGACTTACACTATCTAAAACAGCCTGAACAGGTCTAACCAGTACCGAGGAACAAAAGCTCACCTGCCATGTCTCTTTCTCTAGCTCTCTGTAGCACAGAAAGGTCTAAAAAGGTTAATCACAACTTTCTGATAAACAGAGTTAACACATCCACAGTAAAACACCTTATTTAAAATGACTTGCATGCTTTCAGTGCGCTGGGATCATTTTAAAATGCATGGTTTCTGCACTATGAACTCTTCCATTACACAGCAAATCACTTCGCTAAATATGGGACACTCTTAAAACTCAGATTTAGAGTCCCGTTCAGTCCTGTGAGAGAGACAATTAAAAAAAATTAATACTTTGGCCATTTCACTTCTTTAAAAAGACAAGACCAAACGGTCATGTCAGCACAGTGTGCTCACCTCAAGCGCTCCGTCTGTCTGCACACACTCCCCAATACCGTTTTAGACCAGGTCACACAGAGACATCGGAGACAGAAAAGAGAGAAAAAAGTAAGAGCAAAAGTAAAAAAACAAAAAAACAAGTCTGCATTTGTTTGTGCCCTATATCTTCAATTCAAACAGCAGTGGCCAGATATAGAATTTCGCTGTGGCATCGAATGTCCAACTCAAACCAGATGCAATGACGTGTATCCTGTAAAACTTGAGACAGAAAACTTTCTCATAAGAGTAGAAAACAAGCATTATACCCTTCAACGCCCAGTGTTTTCATCTTCTGGATTTTTTACATGTAATTTATCGACAGGGCTACTTTCAATCAACTATGTAACTTGGTAAAGGATCTGCTCTTCGTCAGGAGCATTTTTTTTAATTAGAAGGAAAAAATTGAATAAAAAAGCATTTTAGAGGAAAACCCTGGTTTTATATCCCAAATCCACTGACCAGACAACTTGAGACAACAACAAAAAAAAAGGTTACTTAAAAAAAGACCTGCCCTGGTGATCTTTTGGCAAAAATTTAATAGAAATAATTAAAGTTACAATCAACATTTCTGACCACTTTATTTTCTCTTTATACGTGTTTTAAAAAATAGCATAATCCATGTGATCAATTAATTCAATTTAGCAAATGAATGACATGTAAGAATCTGAACAATTTTGGGACAATCTTGACTGATTTTGCTGGATCAGCCTAAATTTGCATTAGACTGAAGTGAGGCCCTGGCATTTAAATAATGAATCAAATAAATCTTTTTTCCTCTCAACATGCATGAATATAATTCCCTTTTCATCTAAACTGGACTACCGAGCATTCACTACAACGCCCATTCTTTCACCCGTCCTGTTTTTTGTTATAGGGGCCCTGAAATGTCGCATATATTTAAAAGCACTGGGATTTCACCCCCTCAAACCTTTGGAAATCCGTTTAGAGAGACAGGCGTGCAGTCCAGTACTGTTTTATCAACTTATTGAGTGTTTCTTTCCGCTCTGTGTCTGGGGTAAGCAGAGACAGACTCTGGGGCAATAAATCCCCCTTTCTCTTTTCAGCTTCATTTTATACAAGCTATACATTTGTTTCATCTTACAGTAAAACATTAATAATGTTAACAAATAGCTAATCAAAATGTCATCACATTTAAATAACTGCAACACAGGCCTATAAGTAACTAAAAAAAATCCTAAATCTACTCCGAAAGTTGATTTGAAACAAATGTCTGGAGTTCTTACAGCGAGTGTAGGCTAATGAATTTATGAGCTCTCATACTGTGTTCTGGCACGTTAGTAGATCAAATGAAACAGGCCAATTAGTAATGTCCAAAATAAATTTCAAATACAAGCCGAAAAGTTTAACATGCAAATTTACGATTTGTAAGAACAACACAAAAAGAAAAAAAACACAGCTGCGCTGAGCTAAACTTACATTCAAGACATTATAAACAAATCCAGTACAATTCACAAGATACTAATTTTATTGGTCCCATTATGTCAAATTACTTTCATGTATGATTTTTATTTTCCATTTAGGCTATTTCTCTTGATTCAGACACTTAAACACTTGCGCACCGAAAATTAAGGTCAGTCACACTATTGAAATGCTCTCAACATTGTCATCCAACTTTATAAATCGACAGTTAATAATTTATGTCATTTCTCCCTTTTTTTTTTTTTTGGTCAAAGGGCAAGGCAAAGTAGGCTACCTGTTTTGATTTAGTTAGGCATCAGCCGACTGAACTTTCCAATTTTAAAGGTTTACAGTCCATTTGTTGCATCCGTATTTAAGAAAATTGTAGAGTAAAATTGAGCTCTTGGGCTAAAAAGGAAAAAAAAAAATGCAGAACGTATGTTTTAAAAGTTATAAAAGTGAGCGCAAAAGCAGAGGTCCGTTAACCTGCAATGATTAGTGTGTCCAACAGAGACCACTGTGTCATCTGCGGTCGGATACGAGTCTCCTCAAGACATTACAATCACAAAAAAAATATATCATTACCGACCTATTGTGTTTATTTGAATAATATCCGTCTGAATTCATGTGTATTTGAAGGACTGTGTTCAACATTTCAGCCCCGGGTCTAATAGCTCGACAGTAGCAGGAACAGCGGAACCAAAGTAAATGTTTAAACTGGAATCTGAAAACTACTGCAACTGTGCGTTTCTAGATGACTGAATGGAAACCATACAGAACATGCCATTTACATAATAATAATTACATTTGATTGCCTAGAAAGGGTTGAGATCGAGCCAAAGGGTAAAATTACATAATGAATGACAGATACAACAAAAAAAGGCCAATGCATGAGGGAAGACAAGGTTAAAAAAGTTAAAAGGTGCCTATAAAATAGTGTTAATTTGGTTCACGTTGCTTATTAATAAGAAACACTCAGCAGTCAAACAAACTATTAACGCTCAGATAAATTATGAATTAAAAAAGGAGTAGCCTAGCTAGCCTATATGAATTCAAAAGCCGTGTAGACTACTTTATATTCTCCGTTTTCTCTCATTTTGAATATACCGTAGGCCTATTTCTTATTTTATAGAAACATTAAACAAGTTGCAGGATTCCATTCATTCCAATTAAAGTTTAAATTTAGCCTACCATTAATTTACGATCTTACAGCTCTGAATTTTCTTTAGTAGGCTAATTAAACTCAAAGTGGTCGTAAAAGGACAACGAAGTTATTAGTTAGTCAATATGAATTACTACGTAGTTAAATGTGGCAATTAAACTCAACTCAAGTTTAGTCGGGATTAAATTTACAGCTCAAGTCTCGTTGAAAAGAAAATGCCAACACATTGTTAACACACACACACACACACACACAACTTCTGAGGATCAAAAAAATAACACATTAAATTAAAATTCATTCAATAATAAATAGTTAATAAAAATACCAAAAGCTATTTTGGAAAAAGTAGGGCCAAAGTGAATTTATTATGACCTACTTCCCTTTAGAACAATATAAGCGAATGGAAGTATATGATGTGTAAATTAGCATATTTATTACTAACGTTCTTACCTGTACCAGTCCATTCCGTTGTCATAGTTACGGTCGAAGAAGTGAGGCTCCGCTCCGACCGCGCGAATATCTGGATGCACTCGTAGAAACTCCAGCAACGCGCGCGTCCCGCCTTTCTTCACGCCGATGATGATCGCCTGAGGCAGCTTCTTACTGCCCGAGCCGTTGGAGAAACTTGACAGTAGAGAAACTCTCCTGCCGTCGTCCGACTCCTCAGCTCGGTCCGCGTCCGCTTCATCTTTAGAGAAGTCTCTGGGAGCTCTCCTGACCGCAGGCTCGTCATAATCTGACTCTACCTCCGTCCACGAGCTCTGCGGTCTGGACAGGAGCTTGGACATCATCAGGTCCGGCCGGCCACTTTCTGCCTCGGCATATTTCCCGAGGAAATCCGTCTCCTTCGCTCGGTTGTTATTATTATTGTCCACAACTAAACTCGGTGGCATAGTGGCACAGTAGCCCACGCAGGAGTACAGCATGTAGACCCAGAGGAGCAGCATAACGAAGAGGAGCCCCAGTTTCTTCTTCACGGGACTGACAGAGAGTGCGTAAAAATGGTGACAGAACAGGCTATATTCCATAAGCCCTGTGCATGCAGACCATCACACTCCAGCTGGACATATTGACAGGTAACGTTAGGTACAGTTCTGTCCAGGTCGAATCCCCCCTCAGGAGTCTTTAAAAGCCATTGGAGTCCACAATAAAATCCTCAGACGTGAGGAAGTATTTCATTTCAAACCCAAATTGAACGGGACATCTAGGAATGCGAGTTCAGTCCGCTGTTCTCGCTCATATCTGCGGGAAGAAACGAGAAAACTATCGAGACCGAGCAGTGCACTTGATTCCCAGCCGCAGATGCTGCTCCCGGCCGCATCCTCGAGTGACTGAGCGCTTGCGAGAGAGTAGACCTTATACCGCGCTGATGCGTTTGATTGACAACAGGGCCAGCCTACCGCTGAGCGCTTATTTTAATAAAGGCGGGGCTGTTTAAAGACGCCTGCCAATCAGAGAGCAATATAGGCGGGGATTTTAGATAAGACACTTGGTCGCAGAGCCGGTTAAACGCTCTTATTGGATAGAGAAACATTAGACCGGAATCCTTTTATTCCAGTTTTTGGGAGTTTCCAAAGTGTTACAAATTTTACGCAGCTGAACGGTTTAGAAAGGAATCAGGATTTGGAAAGTTCAGCAAAGTTCTCGTACAAACTATAAGCCTATAGGCTATATTTATTTATTAAATCTTAGCATACAAATATGTTTGTATAGAGGCGCATTTACTTCTTGCATATCCTAATAGCCTAAACTAAATCAGTTTTAAAGAGTAATTATTCTTCTGGATTAAGCAAACGTAAAATGAACAATGTTGATTTTTTATTTATGTTTTTATTTTAAAATTTCTATGTTCATTTAGCTATTCATAAGTCTGAAATAGCTGAATAATCGGGGGACATCTTACACAAACGTGCAATGCGATAAGAAAATCTGCTATATTTAATCGCATTAGTTTGTCAGAAAATCAGAAGTCACGATAAATCTTCATCTGCATAAAGACAAGTCAACTAATGCAAGCAAAACAAAAAAAAACAAAAACAAAACGATATTTTACCAAATAAAAAAAAAGTCTCAAAACAGTTTTAAAAACTCAATCTCTCGATCCATCAAGTTTTTATGAAAAATTTAAATCACAGAATAAACGGAATACAACCTCATTAAACTATCAAATTATTTTATCATCATATAATTTCTCTTTATTATGTAGACTATTTTCATTGTCTTTTTTTGTAAATATATATTAATTTAAGAGGTTCAATAAAATACACTTTAAACCCACTTTTCATTCTGAAAGTTGTGCTTCGCTGCAGTAGATATTTTTCAGTCATGCTGCTGACGGATTTTGTGCAGTTTTGAAAAACAAAACAAGCGGCGCTATTATAAACATGCAACTTATTATTTACACTGCCTACAAAGTGAAGAAGAGTTAGATGTTGGACTAAACGCAGCACTTTCCGCAGTCCCACATCCACTGACCAATTCATTTCCCTGACTTTTTCTCAGTTGTTCTTGATTACTGGATAAAGACATTGTACAGCATTTCTAGCTGATGAATTATTCCGAACATAAATACAAACATTAATAATTAGCTAATAAAAAATACGGGCCTTGAAATTACAGATTAAAAATATCCTGCTATTTTCAGGTTGTATGTGACTTCGGGAAGCCTGCACTTTATACTTCACTTTCATGACAAACCATATATACAGAGAGAGACACATTTGAAGCATTATAAATAGTATAATAGCGTTGTTCATTAAAGTTTCTAAAAAGCGTTTGTAACTTTATGAACTGCACACTTCTGCAAATCGAGTCAATATTTAAAATTTTGTTTGAGTTTGAAACATCTTTTTGAATCAAGCAAAGTTTAATTTATGATTTAGGGCCTGCGTGGACAATAATTCATTAAGAAGTAAAGAAATATATACCATTTATTTACAAAATATATTCAATATCTTCTCAGAGAAAAGAAGTATATCTGTATCTTTTATGAATAGTGATTTACCATGAATGTAAGTGCCAACAAAATACTATATGGAAAAACAGACAGAATTATGGTTGATTTTATGTCTGCAAAAATCCATGTAGCTTAAACAGTAGCATGCTGCTAGAATCACCAAAGTCATACTACCTACAAAATGCCTACCCTGAATGTATTGCAAGTCGTTAGATAAAAGTTTCTGCCTAAATGTGCATACATGTATATCAGATGAAACAAATCACATAATGTCTAAGTTCCCTCCAAAACATACTGAATGATGAAAGAAAAGCAACATTTTCAAAATCAGTACAGAACTTTTTATGTTGCAATGTATTATTTTTACATCATCACTGACTCTGGCACAGACCTTAGACTCTTCTGTCGCCTTTCACCACTATAACGTATGAACTAGACCACATTTCTGAGATTGATGTTACTGTGCGGGTTTAAAAATGAGCGACTCCCTTAAGGCAAATATATCTGTGTGAGTTTAAAGAAGTTTACGGAATACTTTGCCCAAGAAACATTCATCCACCCCATGACTGATTTCAAGCAGGTTTCAAAAGCTTTTCGCTATACTGTTTTCCTTACACACTTCATGCCTGGAATACTTGATGCACTGCTGCCCGACGTCTGCCAAAATTGTTTGTCATCCTGCCTAACATGCTTAAACAGCAGTTAAAGAGCATTTTAGAAAAATACTGTGTATAGCTGTCACTCAGCGTTAAGAGTTCAGAAAGATTTATTCTTAATTGTAATCGGTTTCGTTTATAAACTAAACCAAGTAAACATTTGCTTTAACAACCAAAAATGAAATCATCCTGCATTTCAGAGTAAGATTTCAAAGCATTGTGTTGCCTGTAAATGAAAAGAGAGGAGAAATCCACCTGTTGCTGTTGTAACAAATGAAGGTCTGGGAGGCTGTTAAAACTGTAATGAGAATCCAAGCTGCATGAGAAAAACCGCAGAGTGCCAAAGATCATTATGGGAAATGTGCTCACCTCCTCAGGGTTCACAGCTCATAATGAATGAACGCACTGTGAGAAACTCGCTCCGTGACACTCAGAGTCGAACAATATTTTTCCTGAGAAGAGGATTACTCCATTTATGATGCATTCGTCAAGCCTGACCTGATAAAGGAGGGGAAAAGGCACTTAAACAGGAAAAGCAAGCAATTTCCACATGCAGCACTTGTAAACTGATGCATATGACCATAGCAATACCCTATAAAAGAGTGCAGGACGTCCCATCCAATGCTCGTGTACTGGAAGGTCTGTGCACTTCGTCCCACACAGGGTGTCCACCACGAAAACCCTATAGAGCGGAAGCTGTAAAATCATGGTGGGAGAGTCGACGGGACCCCAGGAGGGCTGGAACTGCTATTTCATCTATTGACATGTTGGGAACAGCTGTTTCTCCCCCTCCATCCCTTCACTGCCTCTCTGATGTGAAAGGCACTGGCTGCATCCAGAGCAGATCTTTACGAGGGGAGGAATGCCTCGCCCTGCCGCCCTGACTAAAGCTCAGCATACAGTATGTGGGCATCTAATGGAGGTGCTGAGAGAAGTGGAACCATAGAGGACAACTGGGAAGGAAACAGCGGAGTGGTATCGAGTGTTGTAGCCGGACAGGTGCAGAGGTCGATACTTAGGAGATTATATGAGCTGATATCTTAGCCAAATGTGTCCAGAGCAGCCAGACATTATTTCCAGGCCTGTCTGGAGATACAACAACCACTGCATGGTAAACTACCTGCCACACAAATTTACAATACAAATATTATTGATATAGAAAATATAATACACATACAAAAATACTTTATGCAATAAATAAATATGTTGTATTACATGTAATCTGGGTTATATAATCAGATTCCAAATGTAAAGTACTTGTAATTAGAGTATATTACATTTTAAAGGCTGATAATCAGATTATATTACATTTTATGGACTACATGATTACACATTATTAACAATGGCAGTAAATTATTCATAATTTGATTCTTTTATTATTATTTTTTACAATTTCCTTTCTAAATGAGCCTAGCACTTACACACAGTTTTGGAAAACCTGCTGTAATGTAATGTTTAATGCATTTCATGATGTTAGTAAAGAATGTATATATATTTTTAATAATCCCATTGAAGTCTATGTGATAAGAATTCAAAAGTAATCTAAAAAGTTATTTTAAACTTTCCATTCATTAACAAAATCCCTAAAATAAATAAATAAATAGCAGTTGAAGTTATCAACTTCAACATTGATGATAATAAATGTTTCCTGAGCACCAAATTATCCATATCAAAATTTATGAAGGATCAGAATTTATGAAGGACATTAAAGACTCACAGAAAATGACATAAGAATAAATGACATTTAAAAAAAAAATGTAAATAGAAAAGTTACTTTAAATTGTAATATTTTAATATATTAGTTATTTTACAGTATTTTTAAACAATCAATAAAGCATAATACTTTCAAAATTATTATATATATATATATATATATATATTTAAAGATATATAATTAATTATTGGCAAAACATAACAGCTTTCCCATAAATGAAAAATTATCACAGTTAAATAATGAAATGAAGAAAATTAAAGCAAATGCGTTTCTACTGGCAGCATATAAGTACATTGTGATATTCTATTGCATTTCCAAGATTTCAAATCAAAACTCAAACAAAAGCTTGATCACAACACATTTTAATAAGAACTATCATTCTTTTTGTGTCTTACACAAATCATTGGTACAGTGAGGCCAGATGAAGGTAAACCGTAAAGGCAGTGAATGTAGCTGTTTGGAGAGAGCAATCAGTAACGAACAAAGCATGGCTGCAGTCAGTGATATTCAGCACTGTTACATTCAATGAATCAACAGTAATTCAGTTCTGGGGAGTTCAAATGAGTTGACTGAGTTTATTTGACTAGTAAGGATCTTTGATGGAGCTAATACCCGAAGGCTCATCCATTCAACATCTCAACTCAGACTCAGAGGGACGGAGTTTCATGCAGAATAAAGACTTCCGGGCCTGCAGTGAGATTCAGCGGTTTCTTTACTGAATCATTTATTGCCGAAATGAAATATTAACAGACTCAGAAAGTGAAAACTTGGAAAATGTCAATTAGCAAGTAATTAGATGAGAACAAACTTGGAAATTACTTGATAGGTGCATGAAAACAAACCGTTCTCCATTATCAAGCCTACATTGCATCTAACCAAAATATCCACAGTAATGGTGACATTAATTGCAAATTCTAAGCAAAACATTTCGTCTTAATTTCAATGATCCACATAGACACAAATCAGTCTACGAGTTTACAGACAAC